TACTTGGATGAATGTATATGGGATGAGGGACCAGGTTGTGACAACACAACGTTAATCGTCTGTGTTCATTTAGACAATGAGATTTATAATTTTGAGTAAGAACTGATACTGTGTTCTTTTATTTATTTAATGTATTGTGTTGTTTTAATAAAAATATAAAAAAAAAAGTAATACTATGCTGTCTTGAGTTTATTCTCTTTAAAATGCATGATTTAACAAGATAGTTATAATGGCTGTTGGTAAATGGTTTTCGTTGCCTTGATGTACTTTCCCTATTAAATTTAATCTAAATAGCCAGAATGTATTTAATTAGACCTTAAACAGGCTCACACCGACCCCCCCCACCCCCAAGCTGGAAGGGGTCGCTTCGCTTACCCGTAACTCAAAGGGGCCCCGCCAATCTGAATAGCCTAGGGCCCGGAGTGCATATAATGGGTCCAGGGACTAGGTCCCAGCACTCTGTTAGCTAAGCAGTTATAGTAATAATAAATAATTTAAAAAATAACACATTTCAATTACAGTACTATTAGTCACACAATGAATTCAGTCACAAACTACTTTGCAGTGAAGTAAATTCAGTGTTACAGTCACTCTGGTCTAATACACTGATAAACATGTACTGTTAATCAAGTTACAAGTTACAGATGTCCACCACTTTTTGTATTTCACCAAATTTCGTAAATTTAGATGTAGGCCCTGATATTGCTTGTGCTGCACTTGCCATTTTAGTATGTGCAGCAATATTTCTTGTAAATTCATGAATATCAGTCTTACTGATGTTTCTAAGGAGAACTTCCACAAATCACCTAAGAGTTACTCTTTAATGGTTACTCTGTATAATTCATTTTCCTATCCTATAATAGATAAGTACTAAACTGACCCTTGAAGTGGCCATTGTAGCCTCCAACACGTTGGTCATTCTCGTCTACAGCTTCGAGGTGACCACCATGGTCGGAAAGGAAGTAAACAATAGTATTTTCATTTAAGCCATGTTCTTCAAGGGCAGCCAAAATGTCTCCCACGCCTTGGTCCATTTCTTCAACATTATCACCATATCTGCAATCAAGAAATTTTATGAAGATAAGTGACATATACCGTGCTAGAAATGAGAGAAACCAAAAGCAGGCCATGTGCAGAATACAGATACCTGGAGAGGGTTTCAGGGGTCAGCGCCCCCACGGTCTGAGGCCAGGCCTCGTGGTGGATCAAGGTCTGATCAACCAGGCTGTTATTGCTGGCCTCACGCAAACTGACGTATGAACGACAGCCCGGCTGGTCAGGTACTGACTTTAGGTGCCTGTCCAGTGCCTTCTTGAAGACAGTCAGGGGTCTATTGGTAATCCCTCTTATGTATGCTGGGAGGCAGTTGAACAGTCTTGGGGCCCTGACTTATTGTGTTGTCTCTCAGTGTACTCGTGGCACCCCTGCTTTTCATTGGGGGAATGTTGCATCTCCTGCTGAGTCTTTTGCTTTCATAGGGAGTAATTTTTGTGTGCAAGTTTGGTACTAATCCCTCTAGGATTTTCCAAGTGTATATTATCATGTATCTCTCTCGCCTGCATTCCAGAGAATACAAATCAAGGGACTTCAACCGTAATTTAGGTGTACAGTGTATTCCAGCCTAAATATTTTACACATCAAAGAAAGGAATCTATTAGTCATTAATTAAATATTGCCAATAGATCATATAAATGAAACTGCAAGACACTCATAATATATTGTGTAGGTTATTATGGTGATTTCAGCTCATTATTCCAACTGCTTGTATAATTAAGATGTTAGATTAAGACTTACTTAAAATGTTGTAAATAATAAGGACTGAAAAATATCTACCTTGTATATTATTCCTACAATAGCACTTACATGTCTATACTTATTTATAGTTATCTGAATTTTCATTGAGGTGCTAAAAATGCTGTTTACAACATAGACCAAAATGTATACTAGGTAAGTGTGGTATAATGTTCCCACCTAGAAAAATGTAGGCAAATTAGAAGCTAAAAGATGAGGTGCAAAGTGCTTCTGTGAGCTTAAAAAAATTATAGAATTATATAAGATTATATAAGAATATGAAAGATTAGATTGGGAAGATTTCTTGACACTACCAATAAGAACAAGTCACCATAGTTTTAAACCTTCCATGCTTGCTGCGTCCAGCCATGTGTGATGCTGTGAACATTGGCGTGTGAACATGAGCAAAGGAATGGTAAAGAAAAAATGGTTGTTCGTCTTGTGAATGGTCAGCAATGAACTTGACTGAGTGGCCCACAAGTCTCTGGGAAAGTCCTTCCAGCAGCAGTGGCTGCTCCACCACTTTTTCGTCGTGCATCAGTATTCCATTCATATACTTGTCCATCCATGGTGATACCTGCATTAAACATACCAGAATTACTCCTACCATGCATTTGATTAAAGTATAAAATGTGTATGCATGATTATATATTAGTCACAATTTTATACATCATATATATGATACTATAGGCTTTTCTCTGTCTTCATATATCACTAGAAACAGGAAGCCCATGGCCTGTCGAGGCTGTATGTCTGAATTTTTGCATCCAGTTACTGGCCAGATTCAATGAGTAGGCGAGTTCTTTATCTACAAACAATCTTGGGTCTATCTAATCTTAATTATGGGGATCAGGTATATTCCTCTGCTTCAGATGCTATTGAAGGACTGCATCAGATGCTATTGAAGGACTGCATCAGATGCTATTGAAGGACTGCATCAGATGCTATTGAAGGACTGCATCGAGGACTGGACTGTGTCTTGGTACCTTTCGATTATCTTCAGTCAAAAACTTTTATAAATGTATAATTTAAACTCCTTTCATTACAAGACCATCAGGATACTCGATGCCTATACAATTTAGTTCGCTTTCACGACTCTGCATCCTATCGAATAATAACATATTAATAAAGAGAGTGGTGAAGCAATGTAAAAAGAGAGCAAATGAGAGAGTGGGTGAGTTTACCTGGAGTTTACCTGGAGAGAGTTCCGGGGGTCAACGCCCCCGCGGCCCTGTCTGTGACCAGGCCTCCTGGTGGATCAGAGCCTGATCAACCAGGCTGTTGCTGCTGGCTGCACGCAAACCAACGTACGAGCCACAGCCCGGCTGATCAGGAACTGACTTTAGGTGCTTGTCCAGTGCCAGCTTGAAGACTGCTAGGGGTCTGTTGGTAATCCCCCTTATGTGTGCTGGGAGGCAGTTGAACAGTCTCGGGCCCCTGACACTTATTGTATGGTCTCTTAACGTGCTAGTGACACCCCTGCTTTTCATTGGGGGGGATGGTGCATCGTCTGCCAAGTCTTTTGCTTTCGTAGTGAGTGATTTTCGTGTGCAAGTTCGGTACTAGTCCCTCTAGGATTTTCCAGGTGTATATAATCATGTATCTTCCCTCCTGCGTTCCAGGGAATACAGGTTTAGGAACCTCAAGCGCTCCCAATAATTGAGGTGCTTTGTCTCCGTTATGCGTGCCGTGAAAGTTCTCTGTACATTTTCTAGGTCGGCAATTTCACCTGCCTTGAAAGGTGCTGTTAGTGTGCAGCAATATTCCAGCCTAGATAGAACAAGTGACCTGAAGAGTGTCATCATGGGCTTGGCCTCCCTAGTTTTGAAGGCTCTCATTATCCATCCTGTCATTTTTCTAGCAGATGCGATTGATACAATGTTATGGTCCTTGAAGGTGAGATCCTCCGACATGATCACTCCCAGGTCTTTGACGTTGGTGTTTCGCTCTATTTTGTGGCCAGAATTTGTTTTGTACTCTGATGAAGCTTTAATTTCCTCATGTTTACCATATCTGAGTAATTGAAATTTCTCATCGTTGAACTTCATATTGTTTTCTGCAGCCACTGAAAGATTTGGTTGATGTCCCCCTGGAGCCTTGCAGTGTCTGCAATGGAAGACACTGTCATGCAGATTCGGGTGTCATCTGCAAAGGAAGACACGGTGCTGTGGCTGACATCCTTGTCTATGTCGGATATGAGGATGAGGAACAAGATGGGAGCGAGTACTGTGCCTTGTGGAACAGAGCTTTTCACCGTAGCTGCCTCGGACTTTACTCTGTTGATGACTACTCTCTGTGTTCTGTTAGTGAGGAAATTATAGATCCATCGACCGACTTTTCCCGTTATTCCTTTAGCACGCATTTTGTGCACTATTACGCCATGGTCACACTTGTCGAAGGCTTTTGCAAAGTCTGTATATATTACATCTGCATTCTTTTTGTCTTCTAGTGCATTTAGGACCTTGTCGTAGTGATCCAATAGTTGAGACAGACAGGAGCGACCTGTTCTAAACCCATGTTGCCCTGGGTTGTGTAACTGATGGGTTTCTAGATGGGTGGTGATCTTGCTTCTTAGGACCCTTTCAAAGATTTTCATGATATGGGATGTTAGTGCTATTGGTCTGTAGTTCTTTGCTGTTGCTTTACTGCCCCCTTTGTGGAGTGGGGCTATGTCTGTTGTTTTTAGTAACTGTGGGACGACCCCCGTGTCCATGCTCCCTCTCCATAGGATGGAAAAGGCTCGTGATAGGGGCTTCTTGCAGTTCTTGATGAACACACAGTTCCATGAGTCTGGCCCTGGGGCAGAGTGCATGGGCATGTCATTTATCGCCTGTTCGAAGTCACTTGGCATCAGGATAACATCGGATAGGCTTGTGTTAATCAAATTTTGTGGCTCTCATAAAAAATTCATTTTGATCTTCGACTCTCAGTCTGGTTAGCAGCTTCCTAAAAACTGAGTCATATTGGGACTTGAGTAGCTCACTCATTTCCTTGCTGTCATCTGTGTAGGACCCATCTTGTTTAAGTAGGGGCCCAATACTGGACGTTGTTCTCGATTTTGTTTTGGGGCATAGTAGAAAAAATACTTTGGGTTTCTTTCGATTTCATTTATGGCTTTTAGTTCTTCCCGCGATTCCTGACTCCTAAAGGATTCTTTTAGTTTAAGTTCGATGCTTGCTATTTCTTGCCCAGTGTCTCCTACGCATTTCAGATATATTGCCCTCTTTTACCCGCTCTGTTATTCTTTTCCGTCGCCTGTAAAGGGAGCGCTGTCTCTTTCTATTTTACATCTACTCCTCCTTTTTTCTTAGGGGAAATAAGCCTTGTGCATAAAATCGAGTGCCCCCGAGTTAAATTTTCTGTTCTAGGCATAAGTTGGGGTCTGTGTTGCTTAGTATATCTTCCCAGCTTATATCGGTTAGGACTTGGTTTACTTGGTCCACTTTATGTTTTTGTTATTGAAGTTGAATTTGGTGAATGCTCCCTCATGACTATTCTCATTATGTCGGTCTGGGGCTCCGCGCATACATGACTGAACCTCAATTATGTTGTGATCTGAGTATATTGTTTTTGATATGGTGACATTTCTTATCAGATCATCATTGTTAGTGAAGATGAGGTCTAGTGTATTCTCCAGTCTAGTAGGCTCTATTATTTGCTGGTTTAAATTGAATTTTGTGCAGAGATTTAAAAGCTCGCGTGAGTGTGAGTTTTCATCAGAGCTGCCTCCTGGAGTTATTACTGCATCAACAAATTTTGTTGAAAATAAGAAAAAGTTTTGGAGTGAGATTAACAAGTTAAGAAAGCCTAGAGAACAAATGGATTTGTCAGTTAAAAATAGGAGAGGAGAGTTATTAAATGGAGAGTTAGAGGTATTGGGAAGATGGAGGGAATATTTTGAGGAATTGTTAAATGTTGATGAAGATAGGGAAGCTGTGATTTCGTGTATAGGACAAGGAGGAATAACATCTTGTAGGAGTGAGGAAGAGCCAGTTGTGAGGGGGTGGGGGAAGTTCGTGAGGCAGTAGGTAAAATGAAAGGGGGTAAGGCAGCTGGGATTGATGGGATAAAAATAGAAATGTTAAAAGCAGGTGGGGATATAGTTTTGGAGTGGTTGGTGCAATTATTTAATAAATGTATGGAAGAGGGTAAGGTACCTAGCGATTTTGGAGAGAGCATGCATAGTTCCTTTGTATAAAGGCAAAGGGGGTAAAAAAAGGAGTGCAAAAATTATAGGGGGATAAGTCTGTTGAGTATACCTGGTAAAGTGTATGGTAGAGTTATTATTGAAAGAATTAAGAGTAAGACGGAGAATAGGATAGCAGATGACAAGGAGGCTTTAGGAAAGGTAGGGGGTGTGTGGACCAGGTGTTTACAGTGAAACATATAAGTGAAAGTATTTAGATAAGGTTTAAAGAGGTCTTTGTGGCATTTATGGATTTGGAAAAGGCGTATGACAGGGTGGATAGGGGGGCAATGTGGCAGATGTTGCAAGTGTATGGTGTTGGAGGTAGGTTACTGAAAGCAGTGAAGAGGTTTTTACGAGGATAGTGAGGCTCAAGTTAGGTATGTGGGAAAGGGGGAAAAATTATTTCCCAGTAAAAAGTGGGCCCTTAGACAAGGATGTGTGATGTCACCGTGGTTGTTTAATATATTATAGATGGGGTTGTAAGAGAAGAAAATTTGCGAGGGTCTTGGCAAGAGGCGTGGGAGTTAAAAGATAAAAAAATCAACACAAAGTGGGAGTTGTCACAGCTGCTCTTTGCTGATGACACTGTGCTCTTGGGAGATTCTGAAGAGAAGTTGCAGAGATTGGTGGATGAATTTGGTAGGGTGTGCAAAAGAAGAAAATTAAAGGTGAATACAGGAAAGAGTAAGGTTATGAGGATAACAAAAAGATTAGGTGATGAAAGATTGAAAATCAGATTGGAGGGGAGAGTATGGAGGAGGTGAATGTATTCAGATATTTGGGAGTGGACGTGTCAGCAGATGGGTCTATGAAAGATGAGGTGAATCATAGAATTGTGATGGGAAAAGAGTGAGTGGTGTACTTAGGAGTCTGTGGAGACAAAAAAACTTTGTCCTTGGAGGCAAAGAGGGGAATGTATGAGAGTATAGTTTTACCAATGCTCTTATATTTGGGGGTGAAGCATGGGTGATGAATGTTGCAGCGAGGAGAAGGTGGAGGCAGTGGAGATGTCATGTCTGAGGGCAATGTGGGTGTGAATATAATGCAGAGAATTTGTAGTTTGGAATTAGGAGGAGGTGCGGGATTACCAAAACTGTTGTCCAGAGGGCTGAGGAAGGGTTGTTGAGGTGGTTCGGACATGTAGAGAGAATTGGAGCGAACAGAATGACTTCAAGAGTGTATCAGTCTGTAGTGGAAGGAAAGGCGGGGTAGGGGTCGGCCTAGGAAAGGTTGGAGAGAGGGGGTAAAAGGGGGTTTTGGTGCGAGGGGCTTGGACTTCCAGCAGGCATGCGTGAGCGTGTTTGATAGGAGTGAATGGAGACAAATGGTTTTTAATACTTGACGTGCTGTTGGAGTGTGAGCAAAGTAACATTTATGAAGGGGTTCAGGGAAACCGGCAGGCCGGACTTGAGTCCTGGAGATGGGAAGTACAGTGCCTGCACTCTGAAGGAGGGGTGTTAATGTTGCAGTTTAAAAACTGTAGTGTAAAGCACCCTTCTGGCAAGACAGTGATGGAGTGAATGATGGTGAAAGTTTTTCTTTTTCGGACCACCCTGCCTTGGTGGGAATCGGCCAGTGTGATAATGATAATAATAATAAAGCTGACACTTTCAATTGTCATTCTTCTTATCGTGTCCTATTAACTTTCATCTTCAAACTATGTAGTTGTTTATCCAAGTCTACGTTCCTTTTCTTTTCACTGTATTATTTCATTTCTATTCTCCCTTTGGAGGTACCAGTGATTAGAATATGCCCCCCCTAAAGTTTAATATCACTGCTATGGATATGTGCTCCCTCTTTTTTGACTATTTTCACATGCATTTACATGCTACTGTTGTGTACACTGATGGCTCTAAGTCCACTGATGGTGTGGGATATGCAGTCATTTTTCCAGATATTGTAATATAAGAATGCTTACCTGATTTGTGTAATATTTTCACAGCAGAATTATATGCACTTCTTGCAGCTGTCATCTACATTCTCTTCCTACTTCATTTGTTATAGATTTTGACTCTCAGAGTGTATTGCAAGTTATTCTGAGCCTAAATTCCTTGCCTCCTATCATCCTTTCATTCAACCCTGGCTGAGCTGCCTCTTCAGCTAGCATAGGGACATCGTCTTTTGCTTGGTCCCTGGTCACTCTGATGACCAGGACCTGTCCGTCTCACAGATATACTCAGAACAGATGTTTTCTAAGAACATCTAGGATTGATGGCAATGTTGCTGGTCCAGGTTAGAGAACAAAATAAACTGACTGATTAAACCACAGTTAGGCTCTTGGTCGACTATTTTTTTATTGTATTTGGGAAAGGGGTCTACCTTGATTGCATATTGGCCATTCAAGACTGACACCTATCACATGGAGAGACTCCCCGCCACTCTGTGCAACTTGTCAGGTTTCATTTACAGTAGAACAACACCTTTCACTTCATTCTTCTATTGACCAAAGAGTACGCAGGCTTCATTTTCGATACGTTTTTCAGCTACTGAGTGCTTTCGTTACCTACTCTCCTTTCAGAAAGCCCTATTTTCACTACAAATGCACTCTATAACTTTTTGATTGAAACTGATTTAGTGCGACAACTTAGAATTCTTTGCTTGCTTGTGAGTTTACATTATCATGTTGCACTACTCCGGGGATTTCGGCGATGACTTTCCTCATTCAACCATTTGGCACTTGTCACCCGGAACGGGTTGAGCTCAGTTTTTTTGTTGATGTGATAAAAATTATTTTAAAATCTGCCTTAAAAGCTAAGTACACTATGGTTTATGCAGTTAATTCTGTTATATACTGAATAATTCAGTACATTACTGATATAAGTATAACATTTGTCAGGAAACAGGACAAGTGTTTCCTGACTCTGGTATTAGTCACATGATTTTTTTTTCTTATTCGCCGGCATTCTCCCGGCCCGGGTCTTTTCCAAGTAGTGGTGACCTGGCCTTGGCTCCCTATCTGGGGAGTATCTCGAGACCTAAGTCTTCCATGGGAGGAGGTACAAGTACCTCCTCATCTTTGGGACCAAGTGTCCCCAGGCCTAGCCACAGTCCCCGCCCTCACGGGGCTCGTAGGGAGAAGCTAGGCCTCTGGTCTGCCATCTGCCCCGCCCCAAAGGGGCTTGTGGGGATGGCAGTCTTGTGAGCTGCAGGTGGTAGCACCCGCCGCTGGAGCTTTTGGTCATCTGACTGAGGACTTTCACGGGCTTACTGGTCCACCCCTTTAAAATTCATGGTTATGATTATAACCATTAGTATATACAATACCGGAGAAAGCGTTATTTTCATACTTATGACATTTCTTGTAAATACAGTGTACAGTAGAGTTTATTCCAATTACTACATCCAAATAACTTTTTAAAAGATTCTTATATTCCTGTTTAAGACATGTATATAATAGAAATAAAAAAAACTGAAGATCTGGCAAAAATCTTTTCTTGATGTACTGTGCATAAAAAGGCAAGAAATAGTATAGATTGAGCTGTAAAAAATACTATACTCGTACAGTAAAGCTTCCATGCATCTTACATGACAATTTAACTTAGATTACCACATACCTGCCACCAGATTTTATTATGGAAACTGTAGTGTGTATGAATGAACCAGCTAGCAGCCAGGACGAGTGTCACCAGCACCAGACACACTGTGACAACACTACGCCGCCACTTTAACAACCAGAGTGTCACTGCACTCACTAACCACAATGACACCAACACCTATAGCAACAAAAATTAGTGTTTTTATTTATATAAATATATTTCTTATTGCACTCTAGTCATCTTTCAAAATGAGGACAGAAAACTATAGCTCTCATGGAAAATTTTTAAATCCTCAATAATTTGCTGAATTTTCATACATGTGCTACATCGATAAGAAAAATTTGACAATCATATTATCACAATGTTGCGGAATAACTGTGTATAACACTCGAATTTAAATGCACATGCTATGGTCATTATAATATTACTGTAAATAAGCAGCACTTAAAAACATTGTCAGTAAGCTGTAAATAAGGCATCAACGGAAATAAGTCACTCTGACCTGAGTAATTCTAAGTTTGCTCTACATTATGTATAATATATATGATACAGATGTGCTCTGGTATGTTGTTCCTTCGAGGTGAAATGCCTTGAAGCTTTCATACTACATTACCAAAGTGGAGAGGCTTTGGAGTTTGGACTGTTGAAGCCTTTATCACTGATCTAATAATTAAAAGATTCTACCTCAAGAGCTTTTTATCTTAGAATTTTAAATGTTGTGGACAAAATAGCAAAGATGTGTATTGTTAAAACACAATCCAAATGAATTTACCTGTAAAACCTGATTTTACACAAATATCTTTGTAAAAATAGTAAAAAAAAAAAACATCTGTGCACTCCCATTATCGTAAAATGTTCTATGCTGAAAATCTAGAAAGGATGGAACCATATCAAACTGTGTATGTATTTATATTTGTGACTCACTTGGTAGAAGGGGTCACTCAATGGGAAGATCCAGAAGGGGTGATCCCCTGCCATTTCATTTAGAAGACTTAAAGGCAATCCATAAAATGACTGAAAACCATGCAGCTGTGGCCCTCGACAATCTTGTCCCAGCAAGCCACATCTCTGTCCCAGGTGCCATTTACCTGATGTCATACACATAATGGCACTCGTAAATTTTATGCAACGCACAAAATTTTCATATGGCTTTCATACATTTATCATAGTTCAGCAATAGTAAGTGACTTTGTATACTGTGTATTGTAATACAGTATACAACACTATATGAATTTTATATATATATATAATATATATATATATATATATATAATATATATATATATATATTATATATATATATATATATATATAAAATATATATATATATATATATATATATATATATATATACAGTGGACCCCCGCATAACGATGGCATCACATAGCGATTATTTCGCATACCGCTTACTTTAATCGCAAAATTTTTGCCGCGCATACCGATTAAAAAACCCGCTCACACGATTTCGTCCGAGACGCGTCCAATGTGCGCCCTCACCCAGCCTCACATGTGCCGCCCGTGCCATTGTTTACCAGCAGCCTCCGCGCTAACATCCAAGCATACACTCGGAATATTTCATATTATTACAGTGTTTTCGGTGGTGTTTCTGGAAAATAAGTGACCATGGGCCCCAAGAAAGCTTCTAGTGCCAACCGTACACCAATAAGGGTAAGGATCCCCATTGAAATGAAGAAAGAGATCATTGTAAGTATGAAAGTGGAGTGCGTATTGCCGACCTAGTCAAGTTGTACAAGAAACCCCAATCAACCATCGCTACTATTGTGGGCACCAAAAAAAACAATCAAGGAAGCTGTTGTTGCCAAAGGTTTAACTGTGTTTTCGAAACAAAGATCGCAAGTGAGGGAAGATGTTAAAGAGACTCTTATTGGTGTGGATAAATGAAAAACAGCTAGCAGGAGATAGCGTCTCTCAAGCGATCATATGTAAAAGGCTAGGAAGTTGCATGAGGATTTAATTAAAAAAAGGCCTGCAACTAGTGATGATGTGAGTGAATTTAAGGCCAGCAAAGGTTGGTTTGAGAGATTTAAGAAGCGTAGTGGCATCCATAGTGTGATAAGGCATGGTGAGGCTGCCAGTTCGGACCACAAAGCAGCTGAAAAATATGTGCAGGAATTCAAGGAGTATATAGAAACTGAAGGACTGAAACCTGAACAAGTGTTTAATTGTGATGAAACAGGCCTGTTCTGGAAGAAAATGCCAAGCAGGACCTACATTACTCAGGAGGAAAAGGCACTCCCAGGACATAACCCTATGAAAGACAGGCTTACTCTTCTCATGTGTGCCAATGCTACTGGTGATTGCAAAGTGAAGCCTTTATTAGTGTATCACTCTGAAACTCCCAGAGCGTTCAGGCAAAAGAATGTCCTCAAGGATAATTTGTGTGTGCTGTGGAGGGCAAACAGTAAGGCATGGGTCACTAGGGAATTTTTCTATAACTGGTTACACCATGCATTTTTCCCCCAATGTGAAAGATTACCTAACTGAAAAGAAATTAGAACTTAAGTGCCTCCTGGTGTTAGACAATGCCCTGGTCATCCTACAGACGTGGCAGAGCGACTTTATGGGGACATGAAATTCATTAACATCAAGTTTTTGCCTCCTAATACCACTCCTCTCCTGCAGCCCATGGACCAGCAGGTTATTTCCAACTTCAAGAAACTGTACACAAAAGCTCTGTTTGAAAGGTGCTTTGTAATGACCTCAGAAACTCAACTGACTCTAAGAGAGTTTTGGAGAGATCACTTTAATATCCTCAATTGTGTAAACCTTATAGGTAAGGCTTGGGAGGAAGTGACTAAGAGGACCTTGAACTCTGCTTGGAAGAAACTGTGGCCAGAATGTGTAGACAAAAGGGATTTTGAAGGGTTTGAGGCTAACCCTGAGAGGATTATGCCAGTTGAGGAATCCATTGTGGCATTGGGAAAGTCCTTGGGGTTGGAGTTAGTGGGGAGGATGTGGAAGAG